TACGGACGGAAAGTAATTTTGGGCTCAGTTTAACAATTAAAATAGAAATCTACCGGAACATTTACGCAACTGGTTTCAATTTATTGAACAGTTTCGACGGACCGATCAGTGAAACATTCCAGTAGCTGCTAAGACCAGTTCTCTCGACAGGGGGTCAGTAATAGAGAATGGCTTATTTGATCTGAAAATTATTGGTATTACTTGAAAAGCTGAAGAGTTTGTGTAACGGTACACCTGTTTGTGGCAAACACTGAGCGAGGGACCCCTGAATTCCGTTGTGCACTCATGATGAACGACCATGGGGCTTGGAGTAGCAAACTACCTGAGGCTCCATTAGGACAGACTGTTTGGGAACATACGGACAATCTGTCTTCGAATGTTTGGACAGTGTGTATGGTGCACTTCAGAAAGCAACAAGCTGTGTAACTTTCTGTATGCGATTAGCATCTTTGAAGTGTAAATCAATGGCAAGCAACTAAGTTTAAACTAGTCTCTTCTTCGAATATCTGCTATCCGAAATTAACTGTACTTGTGTGATATCTTTTGTGTTTATATTTCGCACCCATCTGAGACCAGACTGTGCCAAACGAACCACGGTACAATAATCTTTATAAAAAGAAAAAGTTCCATGATTAGCATGTGGTTAAAATACTGCCAGGTTGCCCAGGCCAAGGCAGTTGAATTTTCCTGGATTTCTCAACCGGATCCTTTGGTTAGCCAAAGCCTGACCTGCAGAGCACTGGGGAGGTGGGTGAAAGTTCTCCATTGGGAAACAGTGTCCAGTTCATCGGATCATGTCCTTAGGAAGGGGTCAAACGTCCAAGGTGCCCAATACACCTCGATGTCCAATCGAGCCGGTGACCATTGTCACAACCAGAAAGTTGTCTTTCATACCCCTCTTCTTGGTTGGTTTGGAATCAGACTTTTTAGCCAACTCTCCTAGTTGAACTGCTAGTGGTTCACCAACCCAGCTATAGACCCAGATATTGGTTTTTCGTCCTCTCACTTTAGTGGGAAAAGACCGCAGCGAGGGGGCGGTGAGTAGGGCTGTCTCTGCAGAGACGCTTGGTCTTATATGAGCATTTCTCGAGGTGCATGGAAAGAGGGACTAGCCACAACCCAAGGCAGACAATCGACGAAGTTTAATACTAGAGAGAAGTTTGAAGGTAATGTTGATTCAACTAATTCCTCTGTAGCTTTCAAAAGAGAATCTGTCACCTTTCTGTTAAATCAGTAAGATGGCCGATTCACACAATTCAGTTGGAACCTGTTCCCTCTCCCATATTGAACCCAGGTGTTACATCAATTCCTAGACCAAGGCCGATCCATCGTCCTTAAAAGCCGATTGAGGACAGCCCATCTGGGCCGAAACCTTATACCTGTTGAGGTAATTTATATCCCGGGAAACCTCTATTTCAGATAGAGGACTGATATCAAATGACAGTAGTTGCACAGTTGAAGTAGGAGTTGGGAGGTTTTAGTCGACGGAGGCCATCTGGACTGAGCCTTGAAATGCTCTGTCCATCGTTGAAGATGGCATTTCTGAAAATGAATCACTGTGCCATCAGACTCTTTAATTTCTTCACGTCTACTTACCTTGACCCCGTTCTCCTAATTAAACGAAGACGATTGCAACTATTACCGATAGCCGCAGCCTCCATCTCTTTACGCTTCGTTACCCATCACTTCTCGCGGTCATTCCTCAGGTTAAGATTATCTGGCGCTTAAGGGATTTGCGCGCTTTGTGGCATTTAACATAGGAAGAAATAGCTTTGGGAGCGTCCAGCAGAACTAGGAGACCCATCATTTGTGCTTTAATGGTGCATCGGGATTCGCCAATGTTTATATGGACATTTAGGTGTTTTCCTTGATTAATATGTAGTTTTCACTGAGCCTTTCGGCTGGTAGTTGAGCTGAGAGACGATCGGAGTTCCGCTTCGAAGGTCAATTTGCAACCGTCTCTTACATTGTATTGTGGGCATTCGTCCCTGGTGGCTTTTTTGCGGTTGTTTACCAGGCACAGGAAGAGTCTGGCTCGTAGAAGAGTAAAGTCCGTGTTCACTGGTTTTAACCTGTTCGAACTAAGAATGCTAATCGACTTTCTCTATTCGACCACTGCCATCTTTGAGACGTTGTCCATGTCTACTGGGAGCATCGTGTGCACATTCATAAGATTCGTCGTTGTGTATTGGGTGCTGATAGTCGTTCTTTGATATAGAGAAAATCACTCTACACTACCTTCGGTGACTCGATCATTTTTATCGAATACCAGCCCATCGTCTATCTCTCCATGATCTCTTTACACTCACTGGAAGAAGTGATACGGGGATCAGACGACGACTTGACGTTGGTTTCGGTTGATATTGCCCGCCTTTGAGATTGAAGCTCAACGGATGAGGATTTAGGTTGATTAGAGACGCTAAGAAATATGACTCAGAATAGAATATTACACGGTCGGCCCGTTGAAATCCTGTGCTCCATTGAAAAACATAACAAAAGAAACACATCAAGGTGTGTACGGTTATCAGGCATCTGTTTGCTCTCACTTTCCCCAATTGGAATCTTTCCTTTTCCATTTTCATGGTTATCGCTTTAGCAACAAGGTCGTTCCCAACTCGGTGTTGCATATATATATATATATCATAATAAGTATACATGAACGACTAGACAACATTTCCCTAGAAGCATATGATCAGTTTTGCTATTCTTGCCGCTGGTCAGGTAATCTTTTGTTTACCACAATATAAAATAGATTCACTTTTTTCTATTCTACTTGTTTGTTTTTTCGTCACTGTGTTGCAGGAATTGCTGTTATTTGGACGGGGTCACTAGTGGTGTCAAAGAAGATCTTGGCGGATGAAGTACAGGAACTGTCCAAACTTCTTCAGCATCCAATTGTCCTATGGGACAACTTGCACGCTAATGATTATGATCAACGCCGTGTGTTTATAGGTCCATACTCCGGTCGTTCGTTGGCATTGCGCCGTAAAGGTCTTATCCGCGGTGTTTTAACCAATCCAAATTGTGAATTCGAAGCCAACTATGTGGCTTTACACACACTTGCACAATGGTCAAGGTATGTCAATTTACCGCCTGTTTGACGGCTCATCGATGAAGAGAATTTCGACTTGTCATTTATGCTTGCTATCTTTCACATCAGTCTAACTTCACGTTATGTGCCAAACCAATCATAGTAGAAGAAATGTTATCGAATGAGAATCGGTCTATGATTTGCTTATTTGCCCCATGTTTTCAGGTGGCTCGGGCAGGTAGTTCTCCTAAGCATTCACAACTGGAGCATAGGTTTTCAAAGCATCACACGGTGTTTGAAAAGCACAATCCATTGGGAGCTGNTGGTATACCATCAGATAAATCTTGTTATTGGGTTGTTTACTCCTCCATGGCGTTCTGCATGTATTGTCTCCCATTCCACCCGATGACCCTCAAAACGAGGATAATCTCATGATTCATTTAGTAAGTCTCTTGGGAAGTTTTGGGGTCAGGATTTTCAATTCCCTCAGAGGGGCTATCTGCCGCTGGTTCACTAACCAAATGTTGATTTTCCGTTTCTTCATCTTATTGAAAACGCCATCACCATAAGAAGAGATTGGAACATGTCGGCAAATGTTTTACGAGAGAAGTACTCCACAAAGGTATTTCTTTGAACGAAGAACAGGTGTCACATACCCTCAATAGAACTGAGACTTTTCGAAGTCTTAGGTTACTACAGTCGATAATCTTGATAACTCCCTCGCTAGCTGTAACGCAACAGTCTATTCCATAACCTCACTCTTTGTCTTGCTTATAGATTCCCGCTAGAAGTGAAGGAAAGTGGCCATTGACAACTGTAATCCTTATTTTCTATGAAACATATCGGCACCGAAATCTCTGTTTGTTATCTGTCGCCCAACATTATCAACAACATTATCACCGTCTATCCCTGTTGCTATCACAGGCGTTATCGCTCTTTTGTGTGCCCTGGTCACAATTGTCAATGTTCTTTTTTATCTGCTCTGTTTAACAGTCCTCTATTCAGAGCACACTGTTTTTCTAACTGAATGAGACTACTCCCATGTCCTCACAGACCGTCCGCAAAACTTGACAATTTGACTTGTCTCTATGGCGATCAGATTGGTTGCTGAGTTACATATTTACGACCGAATTTAATTACTCGAGCCCTACGAATCGTTTATCGTGCAGCAAAAGGTTGAATTTGAACTGTTGTCTTCTGTAGTCTACACGACGAGGTGAACAGACCGACGTAGTGTTCGGAATAGAATTAAGGCATAAGGCTCTGCAGATAAGGAAATACAGTTTTTGATAGAAGTTAATCAATGTGCAAACATGGTGCACACGACACTTAGCCACGTCGCCTGTGGATTGCCTCATACTGACAGAATGTTCTCATTTATACTTTACCCAAAACATTTCATCCGGAAACCTTGAATCAATGATGATTCTTCGCATTCACGAACTCGCATTGTTCCTGTTTGTTTTTCACTTTGTTTTCGAAGGCATGGTGAATTGAAATACGAATCTCATCAGAACAACTCCATGCTTCATAATTCGTCCACCGCGTCCGATTGCACCGAAGATCGGGACATGGTCAAAGATGACTCGAGCTCGGTTCGTCAGGACGATGCAGACGCATGCAATTTGTTCGCGGATGAACCGGGTCAAACCAACACGTTGCCCTCCTATCGTCCTCGTGAGGCTCTGCTGGTTGCACTCAGAGATTGGCTTTCGTTGATGTTGCAGGTTGGTTGGTCACGTTGACTGTGCGCATATGGCTGTGATTTTCGTTTGTTCTCACTGGTCAGATTCGTAATGAATGACGTAAGTTCCCTGATGTTCAGTTAAGTTCTTACAACCAATAACCGTGCACTTTCGTGCGCCGGCCTTGGTTGTTGTCTTTTGGTTGCCCATTTGGATAAAGCAGCAGAATGATGATTGGAATGTTGACAGCGGAAGATAGCGCATTTACATAGACTGATGAAATATGGTGTGAACAACAACAACAATAACAGCGAAGCTCTTTGGGTTGGGACAGTTTTGTTTTCCGGGTTTCACAGTGGTTTGGCTGTGAGCCAAACAAATCACGACACAACGATTTTCACGGAAAACATGTCGTTTCATGATTTGCTCGTGGGCGGGATATCACCTAGTTGCATGGGCCAAAGCAGATGAATTTCCTTGGGGGATTCACAATAGAAAGAGTCTTCAGCTAACCAAAGTGTGGTTCGAAATGCAGCTGTGTGAAAATCGCTCTCCATTAGGGACTAATGTCCGATTCATTGTATCATACACTCTTTGGACTGGGTCAAACGTCCAAGGTGCCCAATAAACCTCGAAGTCCAATCTAGCCAGTAATCACAGTTACAACCAGGAAAGTATGGATGTGGTTCGTACATCTTTTCTTGTTAGTTCTAGAATCAGGATTTCTATCCAGTTGACCTAGTTTCTCAGCCTTTGGTTAATCGACCCGCTTATAGCCCCCGATGTTGGGAAACGCCTTACCCACGTGGCGTTAGTTAATTGTGCTCCCTCAATTGAGGCTGTTTGAGGCACTTGAAACAGACCTATCCTTCTGCGGGGATAGCGGTATCGATTTTCTCTCGGGTGGCAGACTGTCTGATCTAGGGTACGCAGATGATATTGTGCTACTAAGTGAAGATTCAGATAAATTGCAAGCTTTTCTGGGTAGTTTGAGTGGTAGTGTAGCCATGTTCGTTATACATTTTGCATCTTCAAAATGTAAAATATTACTCCAAGATTGAGTTGGTCCAGCACCCTATCTCTACCTGATTGGGTAATTAGCAGAGGAAGTAGACCAGTTTTGCTATCTGGGCAGCTATATTTCACTTGGCGGATGCGTCACAGATGAAGTGTCAGCACGCATACAAAAGGCTCGGTTGGCATTTGCCAACTTCAGACATCTGTGGCATCGTGGCAACATCTGGCTGTCTGTGGAGGG